GTAGTGGTGAATGGTGGATGGTCAGTGGTGATGGTGGAGGGCAGTGGATGGTGGGTGGTGATGGTGGAGGATGGTGGATGGTGGGTGATGGGTGATGAGCAGAGGATGGGTGGGTGATGAGGGATGGTAGGTGATGGGTGGACAGTGAAAGTGGAGGGTGATGGATGATGATGGTGGATGGTGGGTGGTGGATGGTACACAATGGGTAGAGGGTGGTGGATGGTGATAATGATTGCATCTCATGGGAGGGGATGGTGGTGGGTCATGGATGATGGTCTTCTCTTGTACTGAGATAAATAACTCATTCGGCCACTATCACCAACCCCATCTCCCACCCTCTACCACCACCACCATCCAATCATTTTCCAGCCCAATCTATATCCCACAACCCACCATCTACCTGGTGGTACAAATCCATAACCAGGATCATCTTGGACTTTTCCCTCCCCATTAGTCTCCACAATCGATCGATTATTGCCTCTAAATGAACGCAACAAAGCATAATCTAAGATGAGGTCAAGATGAGCACAGACCTGAGAACCTGGCTGCTGAGGTCTGAACCCCAGCTCTACCACCTAAAAGCTGTGTGACTTGTCTGTACCAGTTTCCCCATCGAAACATGCACCTACTTCACAAAGTTATGAAGATTAAAAGAGCCAGTATTTATAAAGCTCCTAGAAGAATACCTTGCGCATAGTAGACGCTGTGTAAGTATTTGTTAAATAGGTAGATACACACCAGATCCTTCAACTGACATCTCTCCTCCTTTCCAACAACATGAATTCCTGCCGAGTGGTTCCAGAATAAACAGGCAGCACGCAGCACTCACCGTTCTTCCAGAGTGAGAGTACGGAAGATGGAAGGAATGACAGAACAAAAGTGCAGCTCGTTGATGCACTGGATTAGCTTCCTGGGATCAACACAAATCTCTATTTGCACCCACCCAAAACATTTTTAGCAACAGAGTTCACTTAAGTCTTGACACATGATAGCCCAATAAAACTTTGACAAAGCTTTGTGTGTGTTTTCAACTAAACCAGCCTAGCCCGAATACAACAGGAATCAACACGTCCCATTCCTGCATGAAGGCTCTCCCTGCCGCTCTGTGTTTGTCATAAACCCAAGATTTGAATGGCCATGGAAGCCCTATCACCCAATTCCGACAGCCTGAATAAGAGGACTGTGATGGCTCACGGGAGGTGACTCGGGGCAGGAAATAAGCCCCACACATGGACAAAGAAGCAATTCACATGTGGGCCCAGATCCTAAAACGGAACACTGGGTGAAGAAGGAAAAGACAGAGCATGAGCTCAGAAAGGGAGGCAGGGAGACAGGGAGGCCAGGGGGTCTACAGCACATCCCCCCACTGCCCACTCGGAACAACGCGAGACCAGATCAGCAGGACGTGTCAGCCCCTTTCCCCAGCCCCATTCCTTCTGGGGAGGCAGCGGACCTGGTGTCTCTGGTGGAAAGGGGACTGCCACTCTCCCTTCCCCTGGTCATCTGCCTCTCTTAGGTTAGCAACGCTTTCACACCCACATATCAGGCGGTTGGTGCCCCAAGTCCCAGGGACAACATAAGACTAAACGCCAGAGAAAACACCAAACATTCAGGCTGAAATCCTGTGAAGGCACCAACCACACATCGAGAGGGAAAAGTCATGAGAGCGAGAGCCACTTCTCCCGGTGATGGAAAGAGGACCCACTAATGGTCTTTAAGGAAGCAGAGGACCTCCTGAGATGCCAAGGCAGCTCCAGACGACCTTTCTCCACCCATGTCTCTGCCCACACCTGTATGCGCGCCTTCTCCTCCCACGTCTATGCCGACGCCTGTACACGCGCCTCTCTCCTCCCACATCTATGCCGACGCCTGTACACGCCTCTCTCTCCTCCCACGTCTATGCCGACGCCTGTAGACGCGCCTTCTCCTCCGACGTCTATGCCGACACCTGTACACGCGCCTCTCTCCTCCCACGTCTATGCCGATGCCTGTATACGCGCTTCTCTCTCCTCCCACGTCTGTGCCGACGCCTGTAGACGCGCCTTCTCCTCCGACGTCTATGCCGACGCTGGACTCACTTCTTTACAAATATGACAGGGTATTGACTAGTTAACTCGACAACCCTCGCTGTGTCTCAGGCAAGTGTCTTATCCTCTCTGAGCCTCCGCTCCCTCCTTGTGTATCAAATGGAGGTGGCACCTACTCCCAGGGTTAATACAAGGCTGAATGGTATGCTTTTGTGCCCATGAAGACACCCAGCACAGCCCTGGTATAAATAGGCATTCCATACATGTCAGTTTCCTATAACTACAGAATCACCTGAAAAACTTAATACAACTATGGAATTCCAGGTGCAGCCCCCAGAGAATCTGGGTCCAGCGGCCAGGACAGTCCCTGGGCGCCTGGATTTTAGTGCACTCTCCAGGAGCAAAGAGGAAGCCTGCTGCTCAAGGACAGACAGAAGGTGCGCTCGTCACTGCGCCATGAGCCATATTTCAGAAAACTGAGATGCACTAAAAAGGCTTCTGGCATTTAGGGGACGTGACAGGTAGATGGTGCAGGTGGAGGTCTGTGCACGTGCACGAGTGGGGCTCTACACATGTGTGAATGCACATGTAGGTGTGTTTATGCTGAGACAAACAGAAAGGCCAGTGTGAACACTAAGAAGTTAAGCCAGAGAACGATTTGGGTCAGATTATGGAAGGTCTTGAATGCAAGCTAGTGAGTACGGATGGATTTCCTTCTCCACCTAAGTCAGGCACGGTGGCCTCCAACATGGCAATTTCTTTTTTTTTTTTTTTTTTTTTTGGTATAAATCAGGCTCTAAAATGGAAGCATTCAACCCCAGAAAACAGTTTCTTAAGATGGGAGACTATCTCTAAAACACAGTGATTTTCTAAAATGGAATAAATATAATGTGTGGAAGTATTTCGAAAAATCATCCATTCTTTCAACAAACGATTAGTGACTGCCTCCCAAGCCCAAGCCAGGTGTTGGAGAGACACGAGACAGAGTCGTTTTTGGGCCTTGACCATATTCTGAGCCTTTTCATGGCTGCAGCGGGACACCCGTGGCAGCTTCAAACTGGGAAGAGATGCTGACGGCCGTCGAGGAGAAAAGGCAGCTCTGACAGCTGTGGACTGAAGGCAGGAGGGCGAGGGACAAGCTCTGAGGCCACGGAGGCCACGTCCAAGCAAGAAAAGGCATCGACACCAGAGGGGTGGCGAGAGGGGTGGGCTCCAGGGTACCCGGTCTTGGCTGGTGAGCCGGGAGGGCAAGGAAGGGGCAGGTCGGGGTTTGTTCGGCAACGAGGAACATGTGGTAGCCACCATGAGTTCAGTATGACACACCTGAGATGCTGCAAGACACCTCAGGGGCCCCATGGGGAGAGCTAAGGAGGTGGAGAGAAACCACCAGGTGGAGAGAAACCGCCAAGGCCCGGGGGAGTGACAGCAGGATGGCGTGAGGCCAGGAGGCGGGGGGAGGGACAGTGGGATAGCGAGAAGCCAGGAGGCTGGGAGAGGGACAGCAGGACGGCGTGAGGCAAAGGGAGGGACAGAGGCCGGGGGAGGGACAGCAGGGGAGGTGGACGCCTGTCCTGAGTGCTGCTGGGATGTTCATTGGGACCTGGATGGAAACATCCCGTCCTGGCTCCATGCTGACCTCCTGAGTGGTCTGGGCAGTGAGCAGGAGCTGGTCCAAGCCGCAGAAGTGAGAAAAGGTGACGAACAGCCACGTGACTCAGAGTCAAACGCTGGCCCAGGAGCTAAACACCCAGAGTGCCCCCCAGGAGGCTGAGGCCACAGCCGGGTGTCCCGTGGGCCCGGACTCCAGCAGCTGCCGCTATGCCCACACCTGGGGCCATGCGGACAGGACCAAGGCTCCTCAGACAGAGGTGAACCCTGACCTCAGGGCCTTTGCTGTTCCACGTGCTCCTCCACACTCAAGGTGGGCTCACTCTCTCCAGGAGCCCTCCACTGACATGCTAGTGTCTCTAAGAGCACCCAGGACTGCTAAGAGAACCCTGCTACCTCTGAGAGCACCCCAATACCTCTCAGGGCCCCTATTACCTCTGAGAGCACCCCAGCACTGCTGAGAGGACCCTGCTACCTCTGAGAGCACCACAATACCTCTCAGGGCCCCCATTACCTCTGAGAGCACCCCAATACCTCTCAGGGCCCCCATTACCTCCGAGAGCACCCCATGGCTGCTGAGAGGACCCCACTACCTCTGAGAGCACCCCAATACCTCTCAGAGCCCCCATTACCTCTGAGAGCACCCCAGGACTGCTGAGAAGACCCCGATACCTCTGAGAGCACCCCAGTACCTCTCTGGGCCCCCTTACCTCTGAGAAGCACCCCAATACTTCTAAGGCACCCTAATACCTCTAAGGGCACCCCCATACCTCTGAGGGCCCCCATTATCTCTGAGAGCACCTCCATACCTGTGAGAGCACCCCAATACCTCTGAGAACCCAAATGCCCCCTGAGAGGACCCCAGTACCTCTGAGGGCACCCTGATAGCTCTGAGTGCCCCCTAGTACCTCTGATAGGACCCCAATACCTCTAAGAACTCCAATACCATCCCCATTCCCATGGAGGGGTGTCAGAAGTCCCAGACTGTCGGCCTGGGGATGGTGGGAGGAGCCCCCTATGGACGCCAGCCCCAGGGAGGAGCCCTTGGAAGTCGTTTGGGGACAGGTTTGGGGGTCACTGTTCCCTCACCCTGAAGGGCAGCCCCACAGCCTGTCTCCCCCACATGAGTCTGTGTGTGAGGCTCCTCCACACGCTGACAGCGTGGGGTCGGGCAGCCCATTCCAGCCATGGGGGATGCCACCTCCAGGCCAGCCGGGCGCCCAGGACCTCTTCCCACCACCACCCAGCAGGGCCAGATGGGCCACATCGACTCTGCTGCCCAGAGCAGGGTAAGAGACACCCCACTTGGGCCAGAATGAGACCCCGTTCAGTAGGGGCAAGAAAAACCTCCATACAAGCACCTACCTATGATGGAATCCCTCCGGAAAACGTCTCTATCAAAGACGTAGAAGGACAGGTGACGGAAGCTCCGAGGAATCTCGCAGTAGAAGTCTTCTCCGTAGAAGGGGCTGCACAGACAGGAAGAGGAGAACCATTAGACTCTGATGTACTGGCCTTGTCATCAGCTGTCTCACTGGCGTCGAGTAGGGCCTGCGGACTAAGCACTGACCACGGGCGAACACGTGGAATCTCATTTCTAAATGCTCCATAAACACGATATCCTGCGTTTCACTTGTGAGACGTGAAATTGCAGTTTCTTAATTGGGGCAAAATTGAGCTCAGCAGTAAGCAGGCAGCAAATCTAGTACAACGTGGCCCCTCACTCGTCCCAAAGGCACCTCACACTAAAGGAACAGAACGCCGCACTGGGGTAGCCACAGCTCAGGAAACCAGAGCGCGAGGCAGACGTGGCGTTAAAATGACGTCCGCTGTGTGTGCAGGCACGGCCCCGACTCTCCAGGGCTGAGACATTCTGAGGTCTGGGCAGCGAGGCACTGCCTCATTTTAAAAGTAAAACTCGGCCTTCCAGTTTCACACACTGCTCCCCCTTCTCCAGAAGTCGGGGTGAAATCCCAACTGGGCAGCCGTCCACGCCTCTCGCTGGGGACAGGACCCCGCCCACCGCAGGGTGTGACCCTGCACACAGACCCCTCACACGAGTCACCACAGACGGAGACTCGAGGTCAACTGCAAACTCTGATCAAGGGGCAGGGAGCCAGGGGACCATTCTGGTCGAGCCGGGCTAGCCTTATCAATCACTGGCTCACAGAAGCCACACGAGCAAACAGACAACAGCACCACGTGGGACCTGCGTCCGCTGGTGAGGAGTGGAGCCTACACACCGACTACCTTGGGTCTGACACGGTTCCCTTTCCAGGCACGTTTATCGCTAAGTCCAAAACAGGAAGAACTAAAACAGTCTGTGCACCCTGGACCACACAGGAAAGAAAGGTGGAAACAGGAGGCTCCGAGTGCGAGTTCATTGTGAGTGAGGTGGACTCGACAACTGGAAAGAGGGCGGGGGGCTAGCTCCCAACAGAGAGCTCCAGATTCCAGAACCATATTCCGCCAATTCTGAGGATCCTTTCCCCCCACGTTTTAGCATCTCTGGAGTCGGAATGTGTTCTGCAATCAGTGTAAGGATGGTTTCATGGATTAATCAGCACTGCTTTCTTGCTGACGCATAATGGTACATCTCATAACTGACAAATGTCACAGATTCCAGAAAATACAGTATTTTTCGGGCACGATGCGCCGTCGCTTGATCTGGCATCATCAGTGTCTGCTTTCCACCATGCTGTTCCCACAATGAAGTAAAGAAAACCCCAGAACACTGACTTCCCCTAAACGCAGGCCTGTGATACGCCAGAATCGCCCGGCTCCTGAAGCACCTGCACCACGTTCTGATTATCCTGCGGCTCGGGATCAGCTCGGCACGGCCCAGTGAACCCAGAAAGGTGGAGCAAATGGGCTACCCTGGAGCCAGAATGAGACCCCCCAGCGGGGTGGCGGCTGTGGGGAAACCGACCCAGGATGAGGGGGAGAGATGCCAGCCTCCCAGCAGAGGCGTCAGCTCTGGGAGTGCAGGCACAAGGAATGAGGGCACTCCTTCAGGCTCCGCTCACCCCAACAACAGGACAAAGGTCGCTAGCTCCTTCAAGGAGCTCGGGGCTGCTGGGGGGGCGGGGGGGCGAGGACCAAGAACCTGTCATGATATAGGAGGGATACAGGAGGCGGGTGTGACGGGAGAGTGGGAATCAGCACAGAAGGGAAAGGGTGCAAAGGAGAGGACAGCGGCGGACAGGGAGGGGGCCGACAAGACTCGGGTCCGGAATCGGCTCTGCCCGCACCTAGACCCAAAGACTGGGGAGTCGGAGAGCAGGGTCAGCAAGGAGGAAAGAGCTGAGAGAGGCCGCATCTGGCGGGTCTGACAGTGAGAGACCCAGACGCCAGCCCTGAGCGCCCTTCCTTCCAGCTGGAAAGGCAGAGCACACTTGAGAGAGAAGAGCGAGGCAGAGGGCTCACGGTTCCAGGTTCTGAAACTTACCGCCAAGCACCAGTAACAGAAGCAGCGAGGTCCTGTCCATGGACAGACAGACACCCTACCTGACCCCACACACAAGTCACCTCAGAGTAGTCACACACCTAAAGGTGAGGCTGAACTATGAAGGAAATCGAGGAACAAATCTTTGTAACCTGGAGTTAGGTCAAGATTGCTCAGACGTGACACCAAGAGCACAATCGCTGAAAGAAAAAACCTGGGTAAGCCAGACTTCATCAAAATTAAAAATACTAAAAATTTTGTGCTTTAAAAGACACCATTAAAAAAGTTAAAAGACCAACTGGGAGAAAACATGTGCAAATCATAAAGAACCCTTCCAACTCAAAATAAGAAGACAAATGATCCAATTAAAAAAAGAGCAAAAGATTTGAACACATACATCAACAAAGACGACGAGCAGCCACAGCACATTCAGGGCTCAACATCGTGGGAAGATGCACCAGGGAAAGCAAAGTAAACACGAGACACCCCCTCACACCCACCAGGACACGCTCATAAAAGACAACCAGTCACACGTTTTGTCAGGATGTGGAGAAGTCAGAGCCTCCTGCCGCTGGTGGGAACGTAAACCGGTGCCGCCCCTCGGAAAACCGTTTGGCAGGATCTCAAGTAAACGTGGAGGGACCACATGACCCACAATTCCCCTCCTAGATGCACCCAAGAAACGAAAACCTGTGTCCACACAAAAACCTGCACGTGGATGCTCTACCGCCAAAAGGGGGGAACGACTCAGTGTCCAGCAAGTGACTCACAGAAAACAAAACCTGGGGACCCACACGACGGCACCTGTTTAGCATAAAAAAGGAACAAAGCTGATGGATGCTGCCACAACGAGCCTCAAAAACACGGGAAGTGAAGGAAACCAGATGCAAAACACCACTTTTTTATGTTCCATTTACGAAATGTCCAGAGAGAGCAGGTGTACATACAAAACAGGTCGTGGATGCGGCGCTGGGGAGGGGTGATGCCACAGGCTCTTTGTGGGTGTTCTGAAATGGATTGTGGTAACAGTGACACTTCTGTAAATCTACTAAAAATCTCACAGTGGGACGCTCTTCACAACCCCTCCCCAGCACCCCCCTCATCACTCACCCTCAGGAAAAGGGCTGAAATGATTCGTGGGTTCTGTTCTGGGCACTGGAGCCTGAGAGGAGCCTGCCTCCTCGGGGCCTGTGCTCCAGCAGGGTGGCCAGCTTCCCCTGGGCACACGACACCCAGGACCTGTTCTGAACCCACATGCAGCAAATATGCAGCCCTCAGAACCCCTACAAGGTGGGGAAACTGAGGCACCAGGCAGTTTAGCTTGTGCACGTTCACAAGCAAGGAAATCATGGGGCTTTGAATCCAGGTGTGGCCAGCAGAATAATGTCCATCAAAGATGTCCAGGTCCTAATCAACAGGGCCTGTGAATGTGTCACCTCACACGGCAAAAGGGACCTTGCAGGTGGGATTAAGTTGAAGAACTTGAGTTTAGAAGGTCAGCCTGGACTATCTGGGTGGGCCTGATGTATCACAGGGTCCCCATAAGAGGGAGGCAGGAGAGACAGAGCCAAGAAGGACACGTGATGACCAGAGCACAGGCTACAGCAATTCAGGGCCTCCAGACAAGGAAGGCAGCAGCTTCCAGAAGCTGGATGAGGTGGGAAATGGATCCTCCTCGAGGCCTCCAGAAGGAACCAGCCCTGCTCACACCGACTGGGCATTTCTGGCTTCCCACTCTGGAACTGTAGGATGTAAGTCTGTGCTGTTTCAGCTACTAAGTTTGTGGTAATTTGTCAGAGCAGCCACAGGACACCGACCATACAGAACACAGCTTCTCACGCTAACTAGTGGGCTCCGTTCTCCAGAGTCAGGGGAATGCACGAAGAAACGGGACACGGGAGGAAGTACAACATGAAGTGAAATGCAGCAATGCACCAGAGAAGCAGTGCAGACGAAGGGGTCGCATTCTCTGGACACCGCACAGCAGCTCGCTGGGAACAGGAGGGGCGTCTGGGGCATGTGCCCTCCCTCCAAAGAGCTGAGCATGGACGCCGCTTCCATGGGACCTCCAGACCCCGCTGACGGCGGCCACGCCACGGGCTCTAGAAGGACGGACGAGACTCAGAGAAAGGTGACCACTGCGCCCCCGGAGCTGCAGGGCCAGGTGGGGGATACCAGCCACATCCGCTCCTCCTGCTCAGACCTACACCTTGACAACAGGACAACTTTTGTTTGGATGGAAATGATTTCATAATTTTTAAAATTCAGCCAGAGATTGCTGGGAAGATGATGGCATAGGTGGACTCTGAACTCACCTCCTCCCACGGACACAACAAATTCACAACTACCCTTGGAACAATTATCCCTGAGAGAGAACTGAAAACTGGATAAAAGGAACCCCTGCAACAAGGGACAGTGCTGACTGAGGTGGAAGAGGCAGAAATTCCTTTCAGAGAGGGAAAAAGCCACATTTTAGCCATGGTGCTTCATGGCTGGGAGCAATCCTAAGGTACGCAGCCTTCCCTGGAGGAGTCAGGGATCTGAGCAGGAGTGTTACCACAATAAGCATCTTTTGGACTCAGCACAACCAAGACAAGTGTCAATACCTGGCTTTGCTGGCTACTAACAACAACGGGGAATACCCCCAGAAAAGCTATGGGAGATAAGGGGGAAAAAAGCCTGCTCTTAAAGGGCCCATGCACAAATTCAGCCACTTCAGAAAGCAACCTAAAATCACCAGAAAGAAAGGGGCACAGTCCTTTGGTGAAGAGATTCACAAACATAATACTAAAAAAAGCCATCAAACCACAAGGGAAGAGAGCAAGAGAAGAAGAAAAGAACAGAGAAGAACTACTACAATACCCAGAAAAAAAGTAACAAAATGGCACTTTAAATGCCAATGGACTAACTGCTCCAATCAAAAGGCATAGGGTGGCCGACTGGATAAAAAAACAAAACCCACATATATGCTGCATACAAGAGACACACTTCAGACCTAAAGACACTCACAAACTGAAAGTGAAG